CATTTGCAATAACGTGGATGGACCTTGAGGGAATTATGTTAAGTGAAATAAGCCAGCGAGAGAAAGATAATCTGTGTATGACTCCACTCATATGAGGATTTAAAATTATGGACTAAGAACAGTTTAGTGGATACCAGGGGAAAGGTGGGGTGGGGGGTGGGCACAAAGGGTGAAGTGGTGCACCTACAACATGACTGACAAACATTAATGTACAACTGAAATTTCACAAGATTGTAACCTATCATTAACTCAATTAAAAAAAAAGAGAGAATTGGACTTTTCCTAATGTTTACAATTTATGGGATAAAGATTTCCCAAGATGTCTGAATTTAACATTAACCAAGCAGTTTTAGGACACGTACCTTCCATTATACACCCCCTTCTTTGCTGATTAAAGTTATATGATGGTGTTTGATTTTCCAGGCTTACTCCCTGCCTCTTCCCCACCCAGTCACCAAATCTAGTGCAGTCCTCACTCTGGACATCCCCCGTCCTCTCTACTTGGCACTGCCCTCACCATCTTCCAATGGCCATTGGAGCGGCTTCTTCAGTTCTCTGACAGTCTCTGCCAATCTCTTCACTCCCTGGCTGTGAAAACGAGCGTGAAGGCCTCCCTCTCATTGCCTACGACTCTTCTCCTCGGAGGATGAAGTCCACGATGCGGCGGGCGTGAAGGCCTCTCTCTCGTTGCCTACGACTCTTCTCCTTGGAGGATGAAGTCCACGATGCGGCGGCACACTGCCTTCAGGATCCAGCCCTGTCATCTTTCTGACTCTTTCTTCTCCCGCTCCTTGTACTTTGCCCTCTGGCAATACAACTCCTGTTCCCTCTGCCTACACCACGTTCTTACCAGCCCAACCTTTGCACATGCCCATGGGGCCATGCCTGACTCTATTTCTGCAAGAAGCACTGCTCTCCTTCCTTCAAAATCCTGCCCAGAAGAACTCAGGAAGCCTTCAGTGACTCATGTATTGTAGCTCCATCTGACCCACACACACTCCTCGTTACCAGTTCCATTGTTATGCACCCAAGGGATAGAACCACCAACCGCCCATCTGTGCCAGATTGTATCTTCTTCTTCTTCTTCTTCTTTTTTTTTTTTTGAGAAAGATTAGCCCTGAGCTAACATCTGCTGCCAATCCTCTCTTTTTGCTGAGGAAGACTGGCCCTGAGCTAATATCCGTGCCCATCTTCCTCTGCTTTATATGTGGCAAGCATGGCTTGCCAAGCAGTGCCATGTCCCCACCCGGGATCCGAACCCCTGAACCCCGAGCCACCGAAGCAGAATATGCGAACTTAACTGCTGTGCCACCAGGCTGGCTCCCAGATTGTATCTTCTTAAATGGCTGCAGCAACACCTCCCATCCTACACGCTGTTCTTTCAGTGTGAATTTGACATTCCCCCCACTGAGAAGTGGGGCCTATGAACCCTTTTCGTGAATGGGGGTGTTTCAAACAATAGAATACAATGGAAGTGATGTTATGTGATTTCTGGGTCCTGAAACGCAATTCAGCTCCTGCTTCCTCTCTCTTCACACACAGCCGGCGTGCTGTGAGGAAACCCGGCCACACGGGGACAGCATATGTAGACATCAACAGCCCCAGCTGAGGTCTCAGCTGCCGGCCAATACCAACTGCGACAGAGGAGTGAGGGGGCCTTGGAGGCAGCTCCAGCCCCAGCACTGACCGCCTGCAGCTGAATGAGAGCCCCCTAGCACAGGCACCTAAGTGACGTCGGTCAGCCCCCAGAACTAAGAGAGACAACATGACATGACTGTGGTTGTTTCAAGCCATGACATTTGGGGTGATTGTCACACTGTAATACAAAGCAGAAACACCATTTGTGCACGGCTACAATTTGCCTGTCTGCACCAGTCTGAGCTCCTTGAGAACAGAGACTGGGCTGGGCTCTGCCTCACATGGCACAGTCCCGGGCTCCCACGGGCCGTGTCTATAGCTCTGGTAGAGAAGTCGAATGATTTCCCCGTCCATGTACAGTACTGCCCTCACTCCCGGGCAGTTAATGGACTTTCCTCTAGCCTTCTGTCACAGCACTGGGACCTCATTTTTAGATCTGCCCTCTTTGGGCTCCCCTTTAAAGACCACACCTCCCACTCACTGATCCCACCCGAAGGAAGACCTCCAAACACGACAAATTCCTCAGGGCAGAAGTGTTTACCAGGTGCTTTCCTTGTCAAGAAAGAGTCTAGGGCCTCAAGAAACACCACGTCTAAGAAGGCAGGAGAGGAGGGACCTTGACCCTTGGCACTCGCTCTCTGAACACGAAATGACTTTGATAATTTGGGGCAAACCCAAAGGTTGGCTCGACGTGTCACTCTGCTGAGGCTGGCGGCTGAGTCACATGGGGAGGCCAGCGTGTGGAATGAGTCACTAGCAAGGACAAAGCCAGTTTGCCGCCCAAACCCACATCTGGACTGGAGTCTCTCCTTCTCTACTGAACCAGCAACCAGGTGCTGAGAAGGCCAGCGTCCTGGTGCTGGGGATTACAGTCTAAGCAAGTTACGGTTCTTTGGCAGAGAATGGAGTTATACCTAGTGGTATGACATACCTGGGGGTTTGCAGAGATCTCCACAGATGTTCTTCCCAAACACTAAGGGCCTCGTGCTCCAAGGACAAGGAAGGCAAGCTCCATCGACTCGTCAATGTTGGCAAGGCGCCCCTTGCCTCGGGGGGTGGGTGTGGAGGAAATTGTGCAGATCGGCTGGGTTGCTTTTATCGGATTAAATTGTGGGGACAGCCTCACCTCAGGTGCTTCCAGCTGAGCCCCTTGAGATCTGTCTTCAGTCACTGCCAGCTCCTGCCCCACTCGTGTCCCCACAGGCAGGTGAGAGGGATCAGGTGTCCGGTCTCCATGGCGGGAAGGTGACTTTGGCTGAGGCATTTCTGCATCAGCTGGGGCATCATGGACCCCAGCTGGGGCAAGTTCCTCTGGCCCTGAGACACGGTGGGCTACTAGCAGCTGGGTAAACTGAGGCACCAAGCATATCCACATTCTGGGCTTAGCTAGCGCTACCACCTAAGGTATTAGTCTTAATCAGGAAAGTGTGAACCTACCCCCTCTACACTGCAGAGACGCTGGTATAAAAAGGTCAGTTTCCTCATTAGAGTGAAATCAACGTAATATGATGGTAGATGGGAAGTTTGGCCTGAAGCTCTAAGAAACCATAGGAATCTGGCACCAAGGACGCCTGTGATAGAGATGTCCCAACATCCATCCACAACTCGGGAGCCCCTCACCCACAGTGAGGGTGTAGTTGGTGTGAAAGAGTCCAGGAGAAGGCTGCTTTTAGAGAGGATGTTTTGGAGAGAGCCGACAGTGTGCTCTGCAGCCCCCAGCCCTCCAGAGGGGACAGATGGTGGCAGGAGGAGTGCTTGCCTCTCACTTTAAGCCTAGAGAGAGGGGCTTCAGGGGCCCACCCTGCAGAGGCGAAAACTAAACTGAGACTGGATTTATACATAAAGTCACCATAGGGCGTTTTGTTGTTTAAGAATAAGCAGCAAAAGACACAAAGTTGCTTTCTGATTACATTCCCTGAGTCCCACTTGTTCGGGATACTGCTAAAATGTTGAAACCCCAAAACATCACTTGTTAAAGCACTTTCATTCGTTCAAAAAGACAACAGCATCCCACATAACCTGAAGAAACAGGCGAGGCTGGAGCTGCTGTCCCTGTGTGGTGGAGGAGGAAACCGGCTCTGAAAGGTCACACAACTGGTCAAGGTCAGAGAGAAGGCCTCGGCGAGCTTGGCCCCTCTTCTGTGTGATCTTGTTCAGAATTATAGTTCTGAGTTAAGCTCCAGACCATCACGCACGTAGAGAATCAGAATCCCTTTTCTCTTGCCCGCCCAGGGCGCTAAAAACAGGTGCAACATGGTTTGGGCTCCCTTGGGGTTTTTGCCTCCTCCTGCCTCCCCCAAGTTTATTGAGGTAAAATTCTGATTTCCAGGAGGGAAAAAGCTACTCAGTGTTGGAAACGTGTCTAAAGTTTATGAAGAAAGTTTCAGACGGCGCAGCCTGTCACAGCTCTCCTTGGTCATCGACACGGTGGAAATGTTTGTCAAGCTAGAAGTTAAGTGCAGGAAAACCCATGATTCTCATTCTTGATGAGACTTCCCATCATCAGATCCAAATTGTTGGGCCCCCAACCCTGCTTGCAGCCATTTTTCTCCAGCTGTGCGTGGGAGAGTTCCAGCCAGGAGCTCCTTACATGGAAAGCTCCTAAAGCTGGAAAAGGTGACAGGACGCTGAGGCAGGAAGAAATAAGGACATGCAGCCCAAGCTCCTTGCCCAGTGCCCAGCCCATGGCAGCTTTCCAGCAAAGTGAGCTCCCCTCTGTGGGCCCCGTTCCTCTGGTTTCATGTGTTTTTTGCCAGCCCCACAAGAGATCCCACAGGAGTATCAACTCAGGACACACACTGATGGAGCCCCTGGCCTGAAGTCTGGTTCAGAGGTCAGACAAGCAGCGAGATGTCTCATCTATATGACAAAGCTTTTCCCAGCCTTCCGTGGGCCGGGTTTCCTCTAGGCTGAGATTTGTTAGCCATTCCCTTCTGCTTCCCCACCACAAGACTGCCAAAAGAGCAACGCAGAGGTCATTTGTGGGTAATATCAGGTCCAGCCGGTTATCTAAGAGATGGCAATCCCAAGGCAGGCAGCCACTGCATTATCGTCTCCAATTTGGCTTTACTTGTGTATGCGTGCATGTGTGTGCACGTGTGTGTGTATGTGTATCCTCCATTCAGCGTATCTTTCCTGCGTGCCAGCTACTATGCTAAGGACATTCCAGACACAATCTCCTGTATTCTTATTCCCAACCTGCAGACGAGAATTTGTGTGACTTGCCTGACACAACAGGGCTAGTAAGTGAGGAGTGAGGCTTGCACAGAGGTCTGTGCAACTCCACAGAGGCACTGTCTGGAGGACCAGACCACAGACTTCAAAGGTTACCCTCCCTCCCCCAGCCCCAGCCTCCCCCTTACCCAGGGCTTTCATGTAGCCTTCAAAGTTGTCGTTACTCTCCATCTCCCAGGTTCCATTCTGGTCCCTCGTCATGGTGGTGGCCTCTGGTGTCTGTGGGTGTGTGGTGAATGTCAAGGAGAAGGTGGCAGGGAGAACGTGTAATGACCTACTCTTATAGCCTAGTGAAACAGGTTTATGGCTCTGAGGATAATAGGTTGAAAGGTCACAAGTGCAACTCAAAGGAACCTTTCTTTCCTTTCCTTGGCAAAGTTCAGCAGGACTATGAGCAACCCGCACTCCAAGTCCTGACGTGGTCAGCATGGCTGTCCCAGTGACCTCTACCACATGCAGGGCCCTGGAGCAGGTCATTTGTGGCTGACTGGGCTCCTGCAGAGCCCCTGGCCCCACACAGAACACTCCGTCCAGCACTTGAGGAAAACACACCCAGTGCCTACCCACATGCACTACCCAGGCCTCAGACCTGGTGTCTGTCAGCCGTGTAGCCAGCACTTCCGGCCTGGCTGGTGAAGCCAAGAAGTTGGGGACACACCTGTGGAGCTCTGCTCTGCTCTATGCTGGGCAGCATACATTCTTCATCTTGTCTTCTCTTACGAGCGCTCTGAGTTATGCTTAACCATCTCCATTTTACAGGTGAGAAAGGCTCGGGGAGGTTAAACGCCATGCCTGATAACAACTGGTAAGTGGCTGAGCTGGCATTCAAACCCAGGCCTGTCTGGCTCCAAAGCTCTTTCCTTAACAGTGTGCTAAGGTCAGCTTGGAAAGTGGGTTGGAGTTTGACTTGGGAGCTTGACTCTTACTTGCTTCCCAGGAAGGTACTTTGAGGACCTCTAAGCAGCAGTGTTACTCATGAAAAATGTGTTCAAGGGGCTGGCCCAGTAGCATGGTGGTTAAGGTCAGCACACTCTGCTTCAGTGGCCCAGATTCTTGGGTTCACATACTGGGCGTGGACCTACACCACTCGTCAGACCATGCTGTGGCAGGGACCCACATACAAAATAGAGGAAGATTGGCACAGATGTTACCTCAGGGCCACTCTTCCTCAAGCAAAAAGAGGAAGATTGGCAACAGATGTTAGCTTAGGGCCAATCTTCCTCACCAAAAAAAAAAAAAAAAAGAAAGAAAGAAAGAAAAGGAAAAAAAAAGTGTGTTACAGGAGCATGAATCTACTGAAAGCAAGCAGGACCTAGAGGGAAGCCAGATAGGAGGCAGTGGCGGAGCAGAACTCTGCTTCAAGACCCTATGAGCAAGCTGACCTTGACCAAGGTAGGGGGCATGGCTGGCATTTGGTTAAAGACTCTTGCTTCAGGGCTGTTCTCCGAACTGGTTGTCCCAGCAGGTCAGAAAATGGGTTGGTCTACTGCTCTGACACCTGGTTCTGAGAGATGGGACCTGAGCAAGGGCCTCTACACTGTGCAGAACGTAGGTGTGGGCTGAGAGGGATAAAGCACGAGTCCCCAAAAGTGAGGCCGATCTTGAGTAGGACACTTTCGGGCTCTGATGTATATACTCTTGTGCTGTGAAATCTAAGCAGATGGTTCTGTCTTTGTGTGGTTTGGGGGATGTAACACAGCACATTTACTTTTTAGTAAGCATACCGGAGTCAGGAAGACACAGAGTAAAAAATGGCCCAGCTGTTGTCAGAAGGCCAACGTAGGATAAAGGGAAGAGGAGAGTAAAGGACAACTTTGTCACAAAGGGAAGATGAGTGAAGGCAGCAGAGGTGGACAGATAAGGAGCCTTGGGCTTCATCCTTGAGGTCCAGCCAGAAGCTGCTGTATGCAGAGCACTCAGCCTCCTGGTTTGGACAGGTAGGTATTTCCCTCCAGGTTCAGATTCAAGGGCCTCCACATACCTCCTCCTACCCCCAACTCCCTTGCAAGAAAGTAACAAAAAGCTGGCCTGGTGGGGGAGGGGGTTGGGGACAAGAATGGGGCTGCTGATTGCAATAAGCCAAGGAGCTGGAATTCAATAGGCATTCATCCTATGTAAGGCAGGAAATTGAAACTGAGATGCTTGCATAAACCCAAAAACACTGATCAGACTACTCCCTCTGTGAGAGTGTGAAATAACCAAAATCTGCTCAGAGACAACAAGAAAGTTTGTCTATTTGGCCTAGGATCTATGTGAGTTAAAGAAGTTCTGCTCTGCTCTGGCTCTGGCTCTGGCTCTGGGTTTGAATTTATGTGTCCTGCTAGCCAATAGATTAAAATAAATGGAGCCCTGAGCTTGCAGTACTTATAGGCTGCTGGAAATAAGTAAATATAAAAACTGTCTGGAGGCACACAACTTCAGAGCAGGCCAACCAAAATTCCCTGTGATAAAGCCATGCCAAACATGAGCTCACAATCTAAAATTGTAAAACACACGTGAAAATAATCCACTGAAAAGCAAGCATCAGCAGAAACATACAGTCAAATTAGACTTCCAAGAGCCTCAGATAATAAAAATGATCTGATACAAACTATAAAATAAGTATATTTAAAGTGGGTAAAGAAATTTAAAACACTTAAAAACATGGAAAAGAATAAAATGATGTTTTTTTAAAAGATAGATTAAAAAATAACCAGAGTAGTTGTAGAAATTTTAAAATATAGTCATTAAAGTTAAAAAGGTAATAGATGCGTTAAACAGCTTATTGAACACAGCTGAAGAGAGGATTAGTAAACTGGAAGATAGAGCCAAGGAAATTATCCAGAATGTGTGTAACAGAACACACTGGTAAAAATTTAGAGCATTAAAATAAAAATAAAATTCTAAAATCTCCCAGAGAAAGCAAAAACAACCATATAGATTATTTATAAAGAAATAATAGAATAATCAGACTGATATCAGACTTCTCAACAACTCTGATGGAAGACAACAATGGAACAATATCTTACAATAATGAGGGGAAATACTTTTGAATAAGAAGTCTAAACCCAGCCAACTTCATTAAAATATGAGGGCTTTAAGGGCTGGCCTGGTGGCACAGCAGTTAAGTTTGCACACTCCACTTCGGCGGCCCAAGGTCACCGGTTCAGATGCTGGGCACAGACCTACACATCGCTTATCAAGCCATGCTGTGGCAGGCATCCCAAGTGTAAAAGAACAGGAAGATGGGCACAGATGTTAGCTCAGGGCCAATCTTCCTCATAAAAAGAGGAGGATTGACAGTGGATGTTAGCTCAGGGCTAATCTTCCTCAAAAAAAAAAAAGAGGGTTTTAAAAACTAAGATAGTTTCAGATATAGTAGCCGCAAACTGGAAACAACCTAGATATCCGTTGACAAGTTAATGGATAATCAAATTGTGATATATTCACACAATGGAATACTACTCAACAGAAAAAAGGAACAATCTGCAATCTTCTGATACACATATCAATGTGGATGAATCTCATAGACATTATGATGAGGCAAAGAAACTTCACACAAAAGATCACATACTGCATGGTTGCATTTATATGAAACTCTAGGAAAAAAATCTAATCTACAGCAATATACAATAGATCAGTGATTTGGTGGGTATGGGGAAGGAAGGTGGGGACAGGAAAGGGCACAAGGGAAATTCTTGGGGAGGTAGGATGGAAATGTTCTAGAGTCGAGATGGTGGTGGTATGAAATTGTCTAAACTCAAACTGTACAATCGATATCTGTCCCTTTTTACTGTATGTAAATTATACTTTAATAAAAGATGAATAAAATTGTTTTTTATTCGTGTATTGATTCATGATTGTTTATGCAAAAAGTATCAACCCAACCTAAAATCCCATATTACACCCACATGAGAAGTCAGCTGATTGACATGAAGTAACCGTGTGCTAAGGAGGCTGTAATAATTGATTGACTAGATGTTTGTAAGAAACATGTTTAAATATTATCTTAAGAGGAACCTCTAGAGCAGTGGTTCTCAAACTCCAGCAAGCATAAGGTTCATCTGGAGGGCTTATTAGGACACATGGTTGGGCATCGCCCCTAGAATTTCTGACGTAATGGGTCTAGGGTAGGGTCCAAGAATTTTCGTTTCTAGTAAGTTCCCAGGTGGTGCTGACGCTGCTGTCCAGGACCACAGTTTGAGAGCTACGGCTAGAGAGTAATAGAAATAGAAGAGGAAACCAAGGAGAGGAAAAATAGAATCTTAAAAAACATTTTAGAGTTGGCCACACCAAATTTTGAATCCAGGTTTCACTACTTCCCAGCAGTGGGACCCCTGGCCTCTTACCTCTTTGAGCATCAGATTGATTCTTTGAGTCTCAGGGTCATTGTAAGGATTAAAGGAGATAACAAACGTAAAGATGTTGGCAGAGTCCCCGGCACGCTGCATGCATTTATTCCAAGGTAGTGGCTGTGGTATGGAAGGGGTCACAGATCAAGCTCCTAGCAAGTGTTTGACCTGTCGGAGGTCCTCGACAAAACACGGCTTCAGCATGCTCTTCCATCTCAGATCTGTGTGTGTAGAGAATGGGAGGGGACGTCTGGAGGGAAAGTGAGGGACAGAGGATGAAAGAAAGCAATTGCCACTCAACACCTCAGCCAGTATTGTCCTCTACACCTTCCATTCAAGGAGGACCACCTATCTGAGAATTGGCAGCAGAGCCCCAATTTCAAAAGTTCTGTCCCAGGGTCCCTTAACTCTCCACTCATACGAACAAATCACATACCTGTGATGCGGGGTCGGTGAGCCGAGGAGTCGAGCCGAGGAGTTGAAAGAAAGATTTCTTGGACTCTCAAGATCTGGCAGCAGTGCTCTTTTATTTAGAGAATAGTATGGAGTAGCATGGGGACAGGACCCATGGGCAGTCCGAGCTGCTGCTGCGTGGGGACAGGACCCACGGGCAGGAGGAGCCTCTGCTGCTGCTTCTGCGGCAAACGTGAGTTGAGAGTAGGGCCAAATTTAAGGCATAGGTATGTGAGTTATCTCTTTACAAGACAAAGGAAAGACTATGTACAAAAGTTGTTCAAATGGTCTCAGTGTTGGTAGGTTCTGGTTATTGGGTGGTCCTATAACTTTTAGTTAAGAATCAAACCAGATTAAGTAAATGGCAGAAGCCACCGCTTCAGCTAAAGACAAAGGAGGATGTTGGCCGGGGTCAGT